TATATATATATATACACACACACACACAAACACACACACACACACACACACATATATGCCTTCAAACAAAATTACGCGAATTATCCTTTGGAATCGGTCTGATGAACGAGTCCGACGAATAAACTCATCCCTAACCATGGTATTTGTAGTAAAACTGTGGTTATACAAATGGTAATCAATACGCCAAAAAAAAAACATGGTTACTTTTACTATAATAAAACCATGGTTAATTTTCGTAAGGGATGAAATCAATCAAAGCGATCAGTGAATCATCTGAACTGTGTGTTATCTTTATTTTCATTAACGTCTGAGAACGAAGCAAAATTATGTACTTGAGGTTCGGGAAATTGGTAGCGTAATTACTGGTTGCGAACTGATCGACCGTTAAAGTCGGAGCGCGGGAAACGTCAACGGAATTACCTCAACAAAATCACTTTTGATCTTCATATGAAAATCATTTGTATTTGTGCTAGCTCTCACTATACGACTTTTGGAAACGTCATAATTATTATTTCTATTCATCACTTTTCCAAATATGTATCGTTTTATTAATTTAGCGTATATTGCCCAACCAACGAACAACCGTTTGTGTGCATAAAACGTTAAAATAAATGCTGTTCCATGATTTCCATGGAACAGGAAACAGGAAATTTTTTTCTGTTCCAAAAAATCTAATGATACAAATAAAATAAACATTGGACAGCATCTTTGTTTATGCAACCTGACACCAATAAAACATCACTTAAAAAAGAAAATTTAAACTAAACCTACATCTTTACAGCTGCCCCAGCATCATCTTCTTCTACGTTTCATGGCGAGACACAAAACAGTTGATGGTACATTTCCGCCACCTACTGGATTACAAAATACAGCGCAGGAGATGCAGGGAACTTGATAAAGAACGTATTCTGCAGTGCCATTAGAAAAGTGTAGGCTACCTGACATGTACTTAGTTTTAAATAAAAGACACGTAAAACCTGTTTAAATGGTTTGGTTTGCATTTGTGAACAGCTAAGATTTTCCTCCACTCTCGCCAACTTTTTGCTTTTGAATAATGCTTTATATTCGCTGCTAGCTGTCAAAACACAACACATACTGAAAAAAACCCA